TTCCCTTTTTCTCCCTAAATACAGATATTTCTCTCTCTCTCTCTCTCTCTCTCTTTCAACCCCTCACCTGTTCAGTAGTGACCCTATCCAACCTCTTGACCTCTTGGGAGATTAATGGTTTTGGGAAGCTTTCAAAAATTCTTTCTTAATTTTTCTGATATGCAGGCTGGAAAAACTTTGGGTTTTAAACATTGGAGGGGCCTACTTTGTTCAAGCAGTAGGGCTGCTCTCTTTTTGGAGTGGTTTGGAACTATCAGGACTGGGTGGAAGGGTTTCTCTAAGAAATACTCGGGTGTCAACAGCTTCTGATATGATCCAATATAATCCTGATGTGACTGTCTGATCGCACCCGGTTCTTCAGCATTGTGTATAAATAAGCGTGTGCACTTGAGTCACTTTGTTCCCCGCTTGAATATGTTTACTGGAGATCAGGCTTTCTTGCTCTCAGTTCTCCCTGTTCTTAGAATTATAGCATCATGAAGTTGGAAGGGGCCTACAAGGCCATCGAGTCCAACCCCCTGCTCAGTGCAGGAATCCAAAACAAAAAAATTCTCCCAGGTAGTTTTCTAAATCTCTCTGGAATGCCTCCAGTCTTGGAACACTCGCCACCTCTCGAGGGAATTGGTTCCAGTTCTGCCACAGCACAATAGAACTCCCACTAGTGCTTTTACAGACTGGAGTCTTTTCAGTTGATTCTGGGTCCTGAGGTGAGTAAAAATGATGGAAACAAGCAAGAGAAAGGACAGGCTGTGGAGGTACCACTGCATGTGCAGAACTTGGAGAAGACTGACAGCTCTCCAAAAATAGCATTAGAGGATTCACCATGCCTATTTTCTGTGCCACCTTCGAAAATATGCATTCCACTATACAGTGGTGCCTCGCTTAAAGAGTGCACCGCATAACGATGAAATCGCATAGCGATCCGTTTTTTCGGATCGCTAATGCGATCGCTTAACGTTTTTTAAATAGGGCTAAATTCGCTTTGTGAAGCCCGGTAAGCGTTTCGCTTACCGATCTTCGCAAAACGAAGCCCGCCGATCAGCTGTTCGGCAGCCAAAATGGCCGCCGGAAGCCCGGAAATGGCCCAAAATGGCCGCGCGCAGCATTTTCGCGCCCTCGTTAAGCGAGGCGAGGGTGCGAAAATGGCTGCCGGCCATTACGAAGCTTCGCTGAACGGTGAGTATTTGTCCCATTTTGAACGCATTAAACGATGTTTAATGCATTCCAATGGGTTTTTTTGATCCGTTCAATGATGCTTCAGCATAGCGAAGGTTAATCCGGAATGGATTAACCTCGCTATGCGAGGCACCACTGTAGTTATGTTCTTGGAGTGACAAGTAAGAATTGAGGCATTACATAACTTTATGCAGTTATGTCCTTTAAAAAAATAAAATGGTTGTTCACATTCCCCATCCTAATTGCAGTTCAGCTTCCCCATCCTAATTATAATATGAGTGGGGGTATTTTTCAGCTTATCAGACAAATTCCAAATTGAGAAGGCACCTATGGAGAAGCACATTTCAGCAGTGGGTGAGGCTGAGTAGAGTGGGGATGAATGTAGAATAGGTAGGGCCAAAGCAAAATGTATGAGGCTGCATGTAATTCTTAGAAATGTAGTCATGTTCCTACCATATACAGTATATAAAGCATAGTTCAATTTACACGTGTATCTACTCAGATTAAAGTCTCACTGCAGCTGTTAGACTTCAGCTCAGTTCTGTGCAAGGTCTAGAAGTTTAAATACTTCTTACATATCACAGCAAGAGAACCTTGCAGGCCGGAGGTGGCCTCCCAAGGGCCATCTGCCTGAAGATCACCCCACGTGTGATCTTTGGAGTCATATATATGAAGCATAGAATGGCTTGTCAGTGTTAGTTGCCTCTGTTTTGATTGTCCTTGAACTGCAAAACAGAGCCCTAAGAAAATTAAGAAGCATGTAGTCAAAGGTTATTTATGTAAAAATGTATGTGAAATATTTGTTGGTGTTTATATTACTGCAGGTAAGTTACTGGCATGCAGTGGTTTAGGTATCTGGCTGCAGAGCCAGAGGTTGGGAGTCTGATTCCCCCGTGTGCCTCCTTGATAGAGGCTGGACTCAGTGATCCATAAGGTCCCTTCCAGCTCTGCAGTTCCGGGATTCTAAGATTCAGGGTAGTCCAAGAGTGTAAGCTTGAGCAAACATCTGCTTTTAGAGAAGCTCAACAGGGATTCAGGATCTCTGTCTGGACTATGAGTTGGTCCATGGTAAAAGGGAATTCATTGGCAAAATAACGGTTCAGCCTAGCAACGAGCAACAGGACCATAGTATTCAGCAATTCTGATTGGAGGAGAAACTGCTGCCACTTCATTGTGACATCTGTTGGGCAACAGAGGTGGTATCTAAGCATTGGAAGGAATCCTTGCAATGCTGGAACACCACAGCTGAATGCCTGATGTGTCTTTTCTACCTCTAAAATAGTGCCTCTGTAAATTTGCTACATCCACATACAACGATGTCAACAGAAGCAGTACAGAATGAGAAGAAAAAGAAGTCAGAGTTCTCAACAATTGGCAAAATAGCTGCACACATCCCTGACCTCATAGTATACGATGGTTTCTCCCAGGAAGTGCCATTCATTAAGGATTTTGATGGGGTTTTACTCTTTATTGACATTTCAGGTAGGCTAGACGAGTTCAAGGGTAATGTGAGTGGATCTGAGAGAAGGGGTGGAGATTTGAACAACATTTTTAGCAGAAAGGTGTATAAGATTTCAGAATTCCATATTTTGGGGAAAAGATATGCAAGCCATCTCTTGCTCATCCTCAAAATAGATTTATTTTTTCAAATAAATCAAGCTGGTAAATACTTATTTATTTCATTATTTTATTTATATGCCGCCCACTCTACCCAGAGGTCTCTGGCTGGCTTACAGCAATTAAAATTCAATTAAGATACAATAAAAGATAAAATGATTAAAACACAATTAAAATTGCCATCAGGACCCACAGTTGATGTTATTTCAATTAAAAGCCTTCTGGAACAGGAAGGTTTTGACCTGGCGCCAAAATGTCATCAATGCTGGTGCCTGACAAATTTCAGTCGGGAGGGCATTCCATAGTCTGGGGGCAGCTGCCAAGAAGGCCCTTTGTCTACAAGCCCTCCCTCTTAACTCCTTAAGGGATGGCTTTTTCAAACGGGCCCCCTGGCTGGATCTTAACTGCCGGGTAGGCTCAAATGCAGTACTTTAAAACTTCCAGAGGGTTTGTTCGGTTTGGATGTTCAGTCATCCAAAACCCTCCCATTTAGCTGTTTCTTCCCCTTTGTTGGGCCAAAAAAAGCTTTCAGAAAGGACTATAAAACTATTGACCAGTAGTGGGGAAATACTTCACACATCATTTACCATTGAGGAGGAGCCCCTCCTGTGCCCAGGGTTCACTTGTTCCCCTACCCTTCCCCAAGACAAGGCTCTTTTGGCACAGAGAAGAGGAGACTGGTGGGAAATACATGGCGACAGAGAAAAGAGAATAGGAAATTCACTTAAGGATGGTGTTTCAGATGTAATAAGCTCCTCCAAACACAAGGATCCTCTCCATCTGTAACTTCAACCTATAGTAAGAATTATCTCCCATGATTTCAGAAAATATGCAAATTCTATAATATACTTCAGGGACAATATTGTAAAAATGTAGGAATTCTACACGTCAAAGGATAAGTGTGAATTTTTGCATTAATTGAGTGATAAGGGAAATTTCTAGCCATCATAGTTTGGAAACTATGAATAATTTACGAATTTCTCAATAGATTTGGTTGGGAGTAGAATGAGCAGCTGCCAGTTCTATGGCCACTGTCACAGCTCCTGCAAGCTTGAAGGGATGATTAGAATATGATTAGAAGAGACTAAACAGGGTGTACAAACACATTTCTTGTGAACATTTATGAAGACGGATGGATAATACAGTGAGGTGGAGCACCTAGTTGCAGATTCCTCACTGTGCCTTGTAGGAGAAACAATGGCCTGTGTAGCCTTGGGCAAGTTGCACGGTCCCAGAGCACACCTAAAATGAGAATACTCTTAACTTCTGAACTGCTGGATAGCTCAATAGTTTGGATATGACAACACTGGCAATTATAGGCCCGTCACCAATATTTTCTTCCTTAGCAAGGCTGTAGAGAGGGTGGTGGCTGATCAGTTTCAGGCTATCTTGGATGAAACCAATGTCCAGGATCCATTCCAGCTGGGCTTCAGGCCACGTCACAGTATGGAAATGGCATTGGTCACCCTGCTTGATGACCTATTGAGGGAGGCCAATAGGGGCAAAATGTTCTTGTTGGTTCCCCTTGATATCTCAGCCACCTTTAATACCATCGACCACAGTATCCTCCTGGGATGGCTTTCCATTCCCAGAGAGTCCAGCTTGGAGAGAGAATATTGGCCCTGTGGCTCCTCAATTGTAGAGTGCTGCAGGGCTCGATTATCTCCCCAACGCTGATTCTCAGAGAGTCCAGCTTGGAGTGCATCTGCCCTGTGGCTCCTCAATTGCGGGGTGCCACAGGGGTCGATCATCTCCCCAATGCTGTTTAATATCTATATGAGGCCGCTGGGCGGGATCATCTGGGGGTGTGGTGCTTCATGCCATCAGTATGCTGATGACACACCACTATACATTTCCTTTTTTCCAATAGCAGTGGATGCCGCTGTGCCCCTTGAGTGCTGCCTGGGGGCTGTACTGCAATGGGTGCAAGAGGGTGAACCTGGACAAGATGGAGGCTTTGAGGGTGGGGGCCCTCCTCTCAGTAGTTTGGGAAGCTCCCTCTCTTTTGGGGGGGTTACTCTCAGTACAAAGACTGTGGTCTGTAGCTTGGGGGTTCACCCTGACCCAGCGCTTACCATGGAGTCCCAGGTAGTATCTGTGGTCCATACCACCCATCTACATCTTCAGCGGATTGCCCAGCTGCACTCCTATCTTGATGCTGGGGTGCTCACCAATCTGATCCATGCGCTCGTAGTCTCGAGATTAGAGTACTGTAATGCGCTCTACATGGGTTGCCCTTGAGATTGATGCAGAAACTACAAATGGTCCAGAACACGGCTGCCAGACTAACTGGAGTGAAAAAATATAATCATATTTCCCCCACTCTGGCAGCCTTACACTGGTTGCCCATTCATTTGTGCATTGACCTCAAGGTATTAATGTTTACATATAAAGCCCTAAACGATTTAGGACCTTGATACCTGGCAGAGTGCCTGCTCCCACCAAGTTCTGTTCATGTCACTCGATCTAGCCAGGCTCGGTGACTGAGGGGCTTGACCCCGAGAGAGGCCCAGAAGGAGAGAACTAGAAACTGGGCCTTCTTGGCAGTAGCCCCTCGCCTCTGGAATATCTTGCCCCCTGAGATTCGCCTGGCACCCATGCTGGGAATTTTTAAGAACAACAAACTACAGTACTGCTAAAAACATTAATTTTTTTAGACAGGCCTTTCCAGACCTTATAACGGCCTAACATAGTGGTTGTTTTAACATTTATGTTATTAGTCCTGCCACCTTGCCTCCATTTCATTTTAATTATTTTCAATTAAATTTGTTGATATGTATGTGTTGAATTTTGATTTTATAATTATTATATTTATTGTTCTAAATTGTTATTTGATGTTATATTTGTTTAACGTATAAACCACCCAGAGTGGCCTTGGCAGCTAGGTAGTTGGTATAAAAGTCAAACATCCATCCATCCATCCATCCATCCATCTGGCTGAGGACCTAAAGGTTCAGAGTTTGATTTCCCATTGTGCCTCCTTGACAGGACTGGACTCGATGATCCAGAGGATCCCTTCAAGCTTTTATAGTATACTGTTACCACTACTGCTACTGCTACTACTACCACCACCAATGAACAATCTCCAAAATGTCCTATGCTCAATAGTCTTGCTCAGCTTTTGTAAACCAAGGCCTGTGGCTTCCTGTGATCTTCCTCTTTTTCTGCTGCCTTCGATCTTTCTCAACAGCTTCAGTTTTGTCATTTTTGCTTCCATAGATAGTTCAGGCTTCATTTGCGCTAGGACCCACTTGTTCATCTTTCTGGCAGACCAGAAAGCAAAGTATCTGCAAAGTTCTTCTCTAGCACCATATTGCAAACAAATCAAAAATTTTTTCAGCTTTCTTTGCTGTCCAGCTTTCACACTCATACATGATCAGAAATACAAGGATATGGATGATCTTGGCTTAGTTTTCCAGTGACACTTCTTTGCGTTTGATGATCTTTTCTAATTCCTTCATTGCTGCTCTTCCAAATCTCAGTCTTCTCCTGATTTCTTGGTTGCAGTCTCTGTTTTGCTTAATGGCTGAACAAAGGTATACAACATCTCCAACAATTTCAATTTCTTTATTGTCAACCATAAAGTTGTGTAGTCCTTCAACAGTCATGATTTTGGTCATTTTAACATTCAACTGCAGTCCTGCTTTGGCACTTTCTTCTTTCATTTTCCCTAAAAAGTCATTTCAAGTCATTGCTGCTTAATGCCAGTAATATTTTGTCATCCACATATTTTAAATTGCAGATCCCCTTATCCATGGGATCAGTATCCTCTAATTCACCAGTCTGAAAATATTAATGGTATTAAAAGAAAAATTCTAGAAATAGATATTTCAAAATGTAAAGTTAGTAGAACCAGCCACTAAAGGGAGCCAGAGACCATGATATACAGTATTTAGCATTCATTAGAGAAATATATTTCCACAACATCATTACCAGAACTGGCCACTAAAGGGACCAAGATACCATGTTATGTATATCATTCACTATTAAAATAGCACTAGATATTAGATTAGAGTAGGCATCATTCAGTCTTGAGAGACTATGTTAACGTGCTCTGAATAGAGAACTTAGAACAGTGTCTAGTGTGGCTGAGGCCAATACAAGAGTGACAATCCCTTTCACACTGAAGACAAATCCAATCTGTCCCCTGTCCAGCTCCCTGATTTTGCTGGTTTCGTGACTGCCTCTTTGCCTCAACCTGCTGGACAAGGATCTCATCAAATTTGGAGAGGCCATGATGCAACACCTGCCTCCAGGCTGAATGCTCAGATGTCAAGGTTTCCCATCTGTTGAGGTCCATTCCTAAGGCCTTCAGATCCTGCTTGCAGATGTCCTTATATCACAGCTGTGGTCTCCCTCTGGGGCAATTTCCCTGCACTAATTCTCCATACAGGAGATATTTTGGAATCCAACCATCAGCTGTTCTCACCACATGCCTGAGCCAACATAGACATTGCTGTTTCGGTAATGTATACATGCTAAAAATTCCAGCTTGTTCTAGGACTACTCTATTTGGAACTTTGTCCTGCCAGGTGATACCAAAAATGTGTTGTAGACAACACATATGGAAGGTGTTCAGCTTCCTCTTCTGCCGTGCACACAGGGTCCAGGACTCACTGCAGTACAGGAGTGTGCTCAGGACACAGGCTCTATAGACCTGGATCTTGGTATATGCCATCAGCTTCTTATTAAGCCATACTCTCTTTGTGAGTCTAGAGAACATAGTAGCTGCTTTGCAACTGTGTTTGTCCATCTTGACATCTAGGGAGAGAGTGTCAGAGATCGTTGAGCCAAGGTACACAAAGTCATGAACAACCTCCAATTCTTGTGTGGAGATGTTGATAGAGGGAGGTGAGTCCATGCCCTGGCCCATGACTAGTGTTTTCTTCAGGCTGATTGTTGGCAGGCCTTGCTAAAGCGATTCATGAGTTGTTGGAGGTCTTCAGCAGAATGGGCAACAACAGCTGCATCATCTGCAAAGAGGAAGTCCTCATGCATTTCAGTTGGACTTTGGTCTTTGCTCTCAATCTAGATTGAGCAATAGGTATAATCCACATTTTTCAGCAGCTTTGGGTGGTGGGGCATTGCATATAGGGGTCTCATTGTATTGATGTTTCTTCCTGCAATTTTCACTAATCCTTTGTCTGAATCAAGCTTGGCTTTCCATATGATACGTTCTCATACAGATAAAGGAATAAAATGAAGCCTTGTCTGAAACCTTTGCCTATAAAAAAACATTCTATCTCTCCATATATTGTCCTAATCGCAGCTTCTTATCCATAATTAAAGTTTCACATCAGGACAATGAAGTACTGAGGCACACCCGTTTCTTTCAGAACAACTCATAGTTTCTCATGATCCACACAGTAAAAGGCTTTGCTGTAGTCTATTAAATATAGACTCATCTTCTTCCGAAATCTTTGGAGCACTCCAATAGGAAGCAGGTATTTGCAATATTTTATTTATGAATTTAAGGGACGTGGTGGCACTGCAGATTAAACCACAGAAGCCTCTGTACTGTAAGGTCTGTAGATCTTCAGCTGTAAGCTCAAATCCACATAATGGAGTGAGCTCCCGTCGCTTGTCCCAGCTCCTGCCAACCTAGCGGTTTGAAAGCATGCAAATGCGAGTAGATAAATAGGGACCACCTCAGTGGGAAGGTAACAGTGTTCTGTGTCTAGTTGCACTGGCCATGTGACCACAGAAAATTGTCTTCGGACAAACGCTGGCTCTACGGCTTGGAAACAGGGATGAGCACAGCCCCCTAGAGTTGAACACGACTGGACAAATTGTCAAGGAGAACCTTTACCTTTACCTTTACCCTGGAAGATATTTCTTATTTTCCCATTCTGTTGTTCTCCTCTATTTCTTTGCCATAGTTATTGTAATACAGTAGTTCTGTTTGTCTCTATTTGACAGTTGCTGAACAACTGTATTTATAGTTGTAAATGTTTCTTTAATATCTTACTTGCTTCTCATCATACCTTACAATTTTAATTGTTTTTTTTTCATTATCCATTACTTTCATTATCCATTGCTTTTCTGCATTCTTTCCTAATAATACCTGTAGCTTCAATTCACAGTTAATTGAGTTCATTCATGCAGATCTCTGGACTTCAAAATATTGTTTTAATTGTGTTTTGGCACTACAATTCTTTTAGTGTTCTTTTAAAAATTTTACTCTAATGTTGGATATTAACATAATCAGTATCACAATCTGTTCCTAGTCTTGTTTTGACAGAGATAATACAACTTCTCAGAATCATAGAATCAGATAACAGAATCATAGAATTGAATAGGAAGGGGCCAATATGGCCATCGAGTCCAACCCCTTGCTCAGTGCAGGAATCCAAATCAAAGTAGATCTGTTAGATGGTTGTCCAATTTTCTTTTGAATGCCTCCAGTGTTAGAGCGCTTACCACCTCTTGAAGTAACTGGTTCCACTGTCATACTGCTCTAACAGTTAAAAAGATTCTTGGAAGGCACTTCTCAAGGTTATGTTACTATAATTGTAGATGTAATTTACATGCATTACCTTTGAAAATTTAAATGTTGAAGAGGAATAAACAGTTATCAATAAATTGAATGGTCTGGTCTTCAAATAGACCTAATTGGCAAATGCACCAAACCTGACTTTAATTACTCAGAGGGACATTTTAATGGCCTAGAATAAAAAGAAGAATGATTTCAGTGATATCTCATGACACCTTGCCTATGAAAGATCAATTTATAATCACGAGTAATTTACTGAATCTGCAAAAATCTAAAGAAATCCTTGCATAATTTTGTTCTGTTTTATTTATTTGTTTTTATTTATTCATTTATTTTGTTTTATTTATTTATTTATGTTTTGATTTATTTTGTTTTGTTTGCTTTCCATCTTATAGAATTTTTAAATTGTGTAAAAATTCCTTTTTTTATATAGTTCTTGCATTTTGTATTTTGTGTTATAAGCCACCTAGAGTGGTCACAAGGTTCTTGCATTTTGTATTTTGTGTTATATGCCACATAGAGTGGTCACAATTGACCAGATAGGCGGGGTATAAATGGAATAAATAAATAAATAAAAATAAATAATATATAAGAAAATATGAATGTTCAGGTGGAGTCAAGTGATATTAACTTTCTATGTCCAGTAATAGACTTAAGAGGATTGTATGAGCAGAAGGTACCAAGGGGAATTTAACTTAAGAACATCTGCAATTAACAATAGATGAAGAGTAAACTCACCTTCATAAGAGCATTGCCATTTTGGATGAGATACCATTTAAATTAGTATGTTATATCCAGAAATGAATTTTTTTTTAAACTAATGTTATTAAAAACTCATGGGTTAGCTGATATCTACTTATATTATTATTGGATTTGGGCACTTGCTAAATGCCAGGCAGAGGGGCAGAGATAGAAGAGAAAATGGTGACTAGGGTACAGCTATGGTTGATTTGACATATCATTTTTAAATGATGAACACCAAGAATCTTAAATCTTGGGGGTTTGGAATCAATAATTGTAATGATCAGGAGAAGAACCACATACTGTTTTTCTTCGAGAAACAAGGGAGACTAAGATAACATGACCAGAAGTAATTCAAAAGCTTGAGGAGTGACAATAGGCTTGGCAACATCTTTTTTTCTTCACTGTGACTGGAAACTACTTTGCCTGATCCAAGAGGCAAATTCTTTCTTTTTCCTTTTGTTTGTTTGTTTGTTAAAAGATCTTTTGCAGGGAAAATGCATCACACCCATTTATGATTCAAAGATTGTACAACTTTTTGAAGGAAGTATTGCTGAACCTGCTCCTCCCATTCTAAAAGTAGCTGAGCTGTAATTCACAATTTCGAGTTGCATTTTATTGACCTTAAATGTTTATACATATTAAAGGCTTCACGGCGCTGACAGAAAAGTTCAGCATGAATACCAACCTGGACTGTGGTGCTGATGAACTCACACAAACTCTCAACCACTATGTTGGTGACATCGTGGAAGGTGAGTACAATAATAGTGCATGATTTGTAACAAGGTGAGTACTCAGTGGATGGCTCTATCATTCTGTCATCTAATGACATCCTTGCAATAGCGCATGATCTGTTACAAGAGAGTACTCAGTGGATGGATCTATCATTCTGTCATCTAATGACATCCTTTAAAAAAATATGTGCTTCCTTTTCTGATCAACATCCTGAAGGCTTGACCAGACAGTTCATAGTGCAAAGAATAACAGTTACTGGCCAGTACACTGAATGTCGCTTTATTACACTATGACTGAAATCCTCTTGTGCAACTCCACAGTAGAGATGGGCATAAACTGGGGAAATGGTGGTTCATGATGGTTTGTGCTTTGTCCTTATTCACGAACAATGAACTTATATAAGCTTTTTGATGAAATGAATAGTTTCATGGTTTGTGTGATTTGGGACTTCCAGGAATTGTAATACAGCCCCTGCACGAGTTAGAGATGCCAAACTCAAAGTGAGTCTTCAAATGACTCCCCACCCCCACCTCCTCCAAGTATGGTGATCAGATTTGGAACATCCAAGCTATATACCCTCAAAGCATTTACCTCTTAGCCACAAAAGTGCTAAACTATAAGTGCTAACTATGGGGGCTATAACTTCTATCCAATCTTCACCAAACTTGGCCAGACTCTTGAACTATCTTTCCTCCCCACCTCTTCCAAGATTAGCAAATATTGGATTTGGGACATGCAAGTTATAGCCCATGTACAGATCACCAATGCTGATAATAGTTTGACATTTCATTTCAGGCAGAAACTTTCCACTAAAGCACCTTGAAACAAACTACGAAACAACACAATTCATCGTGGTTTTTTTTCGCCTTGTGACTCATTTCTTGTCCATCTCTACTCCATAATCATAAAGACTAAAGGCGGAAGTTAATGTTTAGAGTTTCCTCTCTCCTCCTCCACAGATCTGAGGATCCCTAGAGATCCCTTTCAACCTGGGGAAATCTCTGGGATCCTTGGGATGGGGGGGATGCTTTTAGTATCCAACAGTTATTGGTGCTGGTTCTCTCAAAGGGTCTCCATAACCATACAGCTCCACCAACAAGATTCCAGCTTATGGGTTTTTTAATTGATCATTAAAAGATTTTATTCTGTTTTTTTTAAATGAAGGGACAGCCTAGCACTATAATGTTAATTCCGAAACATATTTGTATGTTTGTCTTATAGTGCTATAACACCACAATATAAAAATTAACGCTATATCATCTATAGCACTGTACCTCTCTTTCATGAGAGCACTATGACTGGAATCTCACTAGTATTTGCTTAAAGTTTCCCTAACTTGCCTCAGCTTATTGTGGCTAATTGATGAAGTGCTGGGAGACATCTCAGGTGCGCAACTGGGTACATAACCAGATGTAGGACTGAGATGCATCCCAGCAACTCATCATTTAACTGCAATTACATGTGCCAAGTTAAGCAACTCTTATGCAAATATCAATTGGATTCTTGCTCATATTGCTTTAATTTGAATAAAAATCCTCAAAAATCTAATTAAAAATGTTTTAGTTTTACTTAAACTATCCATATATATATCCAGCATACACACATACATGGAAAGACAGGCACAAACATGAATAAATTTGATTCTAAAATGGTAGTCATTATCAGTAGTATAGTACATGTGTGTTGTGATTGAAATGGATGCATCCAGAACAATTATGTTACACCCATTGGTGTTGAATAGTCATAGTGGAATCTGTCAAGTGCAATATTCCCCATAGTGTGAAAAGTCCTTAGCCATTTGCTTGTAGGCTACTGCAGAAGGGTAATGACTGGATGGTTTTAGAACCCAATTGACAACTCAGTTGTTTGGATGCAGCCAATAAAGATTTTCTTTGATTTGTATTCGTGTATTGAGTTGGACTCGATGGCCTTATAGTTCCCTTCCAACTTCATTATTCTATAATTCTATGAAAAAGAATGCAAGACTAATTTACATTTAATGCCCCCTGACAATTCAGCAACAGATCTCTATATGATTCTGCTCTTCTTTCTCTTCCTTTTATCTACAGAAGTGCTGGCTTTTGGAGGTGACATCTTGAAATTTGCAGGTATGGATTGTAGAGAAAAATAATTTTAGATACTATGTGAGTAATTTCCTCTGGCTCTAACTAAGATTAAGATTTTATATATGGGAAAAAGATGAGCTTCCTAAATGCCCAGTTAATGGATGAGGAATATACATTGACTCTGCTCTTCGCTATCATGTTGATTTGCTTCTCTAGTTGATAGCTGCTAACACATCAGCTGCAAGTCCCAGAAGGGTTTGTTTAGGTTTATTCCTAACAGCTAACTCACATTCTAGGTATTTTCTCCACACCTTACCTGTGCTTAAATTTCTAAATTTGCTTGCCTAGAATTGAGAATGATTTAGGCTGCAATCTTATACTTCAGGGATCCCCAACCTTTTTCACCCCACGGACCAGCTGGGGAAGGCGGGGCACCCCCCGCGCTCATGCGCATGCATGAACAAGCGAGCACAGTGCTTGCACAGGTGTGCTGTAGTGTGTACATATGTTCAAATCAGCTGTGTGGGGTGAGTGCATGTAGGAGGGTTGGGGCGGGAGGTCTGTCTCCATGGCCTGGTCTGGCTCAGGCCACGGAATGGCACCAGGCCATGGACCAGGGGTTGGGGACCTCTGCTATACTTTCCTTAGAGTAAATCCTGATGCTGTAGGTCGGCCTTTTGCATAGGAAAGCAGTATATCATTGCAATCTCTGCACACATATTAGAAATGTATAAGCATTATTTGGATCATGATCCCTCATACTTTTTTATTTGATACACTGGTACAAAGCTAAGTTTACAAAAAAAGCAGACATCTTTATTCCAAAGCAGAAAGCTTGCTTTTACATAGCTGACGGTGTAAAGATCCACTGCACTAGTTTCATCTTCTTGCTTAACTCAATGTCACAAACAGGAAAGAGAGTAGTACAACCTTCATAACATGTTGGCCATGATCTGAGGACATGCACACAATAGTAGCCACCTTCAAAATGATTGTGCACCTGAGCCTCCAAGGGCACCTGCAGTTATTTGTTAAGAGTTTTATGCATTAAGATAATTGTATCTAGCAGCAATCAAGAGGTACAGATAGCAACAGAGTGTGGGAGGTCATTGTAAGTCACTATAATAATGTGGCAATATGAGTGATTTACATTCCCTCTTTGTGAACAGAGCATTTGTGACAGATTAGATGTTGGTAAACATATTTGCCTTGATCATATACTTCTTTTTTTCCCTGTATGTTCTCCCCAGGGGATGCATTATTGGCACTCTGGAAGGTGGAGCGTCGTGAGATAAATCACATCATCACTCTGGCCATAATTTGTAGTTTCAAAATACAAGAAGACTATGGTGTTCGTGACACTGAGGTGGGACAGGAACTACGAGTGAAAATAGGTATCAAAGCAGCCATCTTTTGTTGCAAGAAGAAGCCTTCTATATTGTATAAACCACAGGCTAGTCAGGAGTGAAAGCCCTGTTCTCAGTCTGTACGATTCAGGAGTACTGGTGTTCAAATCCACCAATAGATAACTGTGGGAGACTCTTGTAGCATCTGCAAAACCCTCCATGAAGAAATGGACGTTTTGTGGATAGATCTGGTGGGATACAGTGACAATTTGCAGTTTATCCCTGGGATTTTTAAATAGGACCATACACTTGACATTTAGACTAATGCTGCAGGCACTTTTTCCCTTGCAGAAAATGTTGTGAGTAATTAAAAAAAAACACTGACGTTCCTGTGATGCACATATCATGTAGATAACTTTTCCACTTCCTTATTATCAGAGGCGCACAGCATCAAATCATCTACAATCAAGAAGTTTATTTTAGTGGTGGGTAATAGAATATCATCATCAAATTTATCCGGCAGTCCTTCTACAAAACAAATAAAGGGATATTTACACAGGAGATTTATATATACAGGTTGCCAACAGTTATAACACCAAATAATATTTTCAGGCATATTAGAAACTACACTGCGAGCATTGTCCAACATGTTTTTTTTTAATAAAAAAGGTTTTCCACAGCCACTAGGCCCTGCTAGAATGGCTAAAAAAGGATGGAACCACCTTGTATTCATTTCAGTAGCCATAAGGAAGGGTTTTTAAATCTTCCGTAATCATTCTTTTGTCATCAACCACCTTTTGAGTTTTTCTTAACAGCTTTTTGCGGATCAGCCACTGTCATTTATCCCTAACAATCCCTGGCTGCTGCACAACTGTTTCACAGGGCGAGCTATCCTACTTGTCTGAAACATGTGTAAAAACCTATCAAAATAATTTTTTTCACAGTTAGCAAAATTCAGTGTGAATTCTACGGGTTGACTGTCTACAAGGGAGCAAACCCAAAGTTACACATTCCCCTTTATTTTAAGGAACAAGCCCCAGTAGTTACATGCTTTTTTCTAATTCTAAACATAGCATTACAAGGTCTTTAAAAGAGATAAACTCTTACCTGTTTGCTGAGAATTAGAAGACTTATGGATCTGGGCTTTGGTGACCATTTTCTATAAAAGAGAGGAGAGAGTAAGAGCAATCATGCCTATAACAGAGAACCCAAGCATTAAAGAGTAAGGTTGGAAGAGTCCTAAAGGACCAGACAATCCAAACCTCTGATCAAGGCATGATTACAAGCAAAGGAATACAAGCTATATTACACTGAAATAAAATCTCACATTTGAAGCAGCTAGGCAATAAGATACTTACATGTGCCGTCAGGAAGCACTTCTCAGCAACAGGTTGATGGCAGAAGAGGGAATATGTGGTGATCTTCTAGAGAAGCCCCCACTTTTTATAGTTTTCCATGGGAAGCAAAATAATGCCAAAAAAAATATATTTTTCCAGACTCTTTGTATAATTGTGTTTTGATGTGGTGATCTTCTAGAGAAGCCCCCACTTTTTATAGTTTTCCATGGGAAGCAAAATAATGCCAAAAAAAATATATTTTTCCAGACTCTTTGTATAATTGTGTTTTGCATCTACAGTTTTCCCTGGGAATCAAAATAATGCCAATAATTTTGTTTTCCCTGGGAAGCAAAAGGCCTCCTCAGGTGTTTAAACATTTTTCCCAATCCCTTTGCATTATTGTGTTGTCTTTTCTCACTTACCCACAAATACAACAAATCATGCTGACGCCTGCTTCCTTTTTTCAGGGGAGTTCCTCTTACATGTAAATGGGATGGTTGCTGAAAAATCAAAGAGGGATTTTAACAAACATATACACAGAGTTATCATATATAGCAGCCATCTGGTGCCACCCTTCCACAAATGATTACATACTGGTGTTTCACAAGATTTCTTTATATGAAAGGAAGCTTCCATATTATGCCATCTTTCAGGTTCTTCCAGGCATTGTAGTGATACAAGTGGCATGTTCTCATTGTCAGAATCTATACTCTTGCACCTCTTTCTGGGGTTGGCTGGGGTATTGGCGTCCAGGTCCTTTTGGCTTTCCGCCTTTGGGGGGCCCTGGGTACCAGCAAGCTGGTTTTCCTTGTCCTCCATCTTCTCCAAGTCGCACCCGTCTCTGCAAAGAGCTGCAAGCATGCACAGAAGGCCCCCAAAACCATAGCTGTGGTGTTTCGGCAACCACTGTGGAGTTTCAGCCCCAGGTGGCCTGGGGGCATGCCAAGGCATGATCTACGGCCACCCCTTTTCTAGACAAACCCCTCCAAGCTCCCCCCATTGGCCCACAGGACCGCAAGGTGACACGTCACTTCGGGGGCCAATCCTGAGGCTGCGCTCTGGTCATGGGGGACCCCGGTGTCTATGAACCCCTTCTATAGGCCCCTGGTGGCCTCAACAACCCCCTACATCATTGTAAAGCCCCACCCACCCAGGAGGAGGGCCATGGGTCGATTCTTGACCCTTTGTCTCACTCACAGGGGCAGCACGCCCGTCAAAAGTGATTTTGATGCATGTTAGGTAGTATTACTACTTCTGAGACCAGCAATAATGTCCCAGGTGGTCTCGATCCTGTTTTGCCTTATGAAGCATTGCTCGATAAATCCATATCTTAATTGGCTTATACTTGCTTGATGCTTACATCATCATGTGACACATCTTTTGAAACATCAGCTTTGGCTTCCAGTTTCCTGGCTCTGAATAGGTTGAACCACATGAAGAGGTCACTACTCTGATCCTAAAACCAGCAGAGTTTTTGATCAGTGAGTAAATACAAACTGTGCATAATATCCATGAAATAGATGCAAAATATACATTTCCCTTATGTATGCAGTTCACTTTTTCAAGAAATATTTTCACTGAAGAGAGTCTTCCTTTGCTTTTTTTTAACTCTAGCTCCTGCATGTTCCATCTCTTATCAGTCACCCTGAACTAAAAACTTCAAATGATGCTCCAAAATTTTGGGGTGGGTGGGGGGAGATAGAGAGGAAGAGCTAGCAAGTCAAGTGTATAGTAATCTAAAGGGTTTTATAGCTATAGAGGTATGTTGTGCAACTTGGCTGAATCACAGTGCTTGGGATGTATTTTGAGAGCACTAAATAATGCATAGTATAATGTTAAGGGGAGGAGGAAAGGTAAACACACTCTCCAAAAATCAGGTCAACTGAAGTGTGATGTTTGCTCTCTGACAGCATTTTGGGGGGAAAAACATAGCACTACTGATAGAAATTTGGAGGGTATGCTACAGCCCTGTGTAAGGTGGAAATTGTTAGCATATAAGAGATGGATTCTTTAGTTCCTCTGAACCTTCTTGTTCCAGCTTTTTAAATAATTAAAATACTCTTATATGGCATGTTAAAGCTCAACAAAGATTTTGCATATTTTGCCAGGAGTATCTGCTGGCCACATTTCAAAGGTTGTTGTTGGAGATCACATACATCAGCATTTCCTAGTTATTGGTCGGGCAGTGGACGAAGTTCGGTTGGCCCAAAATTTAGCAAAAGCTAGTGAAATCATCCTGTCACCAAATTGCTGGGAGCTCTGTGACCGAAAACTAATTGTAGTGGAAAAGATTCCAGGTGAAAGAGCTGTTAAGGTGGGTATCTGCTCCACTGCATGTTGTTGTTGGCATCGACTACATGGAATTCAGCTTACACTGAATTGGGTCCTGGATTATAAGTCATGGTGGTGGCTGGCTTGTGCTTCTTACTGTGCTCTGACCAGGAACAGATTTGGCTGGGTTTTAGAAAACTTACCATCAAGTTGCCTTTATTCTCTAAATGCAGACTGAATAGAAGCAAGTCTTAACAATAGTCCTTGATTTCTCTTAAAATTCCTCCACAAACTTTGAAATCCTTACAGAGAAACCTCTGTAAGAGATAAGAAATCTCCATTTTACTTCATTTATTCTTCCTGAAAAATTCATTATTCTACACTAAGTAATGTGGGGGGAGGGATTTTGTACTACAAATAGTGGGGTAGCTTGTGGAAAATTCTCCTGTCAATGTGTTGCATGTCAACTGTAACCTTGTTCTTTTAAGATTTGATGACTCCTTCCAAATCCATTTGATAGAGCATTTGCCCGCAAGCAGAAGGTTCCAGGTTCAAACTTTAGTTTAAGAGAAGGACCACTAGAGCCACAAGCAGCTATAGACACCACTAGGCTAAAAGGATCAATGATGTGATCCCATGAAATGGTGTCTAATACTTACCGGTATCTATTTATGTATAGTATTTAACTTATATGCCGCCCACACTACCCAAAGGCCTCTGGGCGGCTTACAACAATTTAAATGTAATAAAAGATATAAATATAAAACAATTAAAATACAATCAAAAATACAGTACTCTAAAAATTGCCATCAGGACCCACAGTTGATAATATGCTTAAGGCCTAGAGCTTACTGTGGCATCTTCCACCAAAATAAAGCATACCAACTTTAGCGTTCACCCTGCTCATTAATATTCATATTGATATTTGCATGCACCAATGGGAGTTGGTGGGGGGCAGAGTTAAGGACAGAGAAGAAAAAGGAGGGAGATCAGAAGAGGAGGAAGACAATTTGAGTTTAGTTTGGCATTGAGAGAGAGTTTGGGAAGGTGGTAGAGAATTAAAAGGTATGTTGTTTTAGTTGAGAGTTAACGACACTAACTGAATTTTATTTCTTGTAAAAATAAACAATTTCTACTTGGTTATTAAATGACATGTTGACTGGACCTCTCTGCAATACTGAATAACAATGATGTAATCAACAGCTGCCTTTGTTTGATGAAATAACCAAGGGGCAGGTGGGAACGTGACACCAACCTATTTGTTTCATGTATCCATCAGATATAAATCCTTGAACCCATACACGTTCTTGTTACAGCCACTGTTAATTTAAACTCTGAATTGAGAAACAGAATAGCATAACTACTAGTGGAGCAAAGCATCCAGATTTAGAAAAAGAAGAAAGTTAATATTTATTAGAAGATACACTGGAATAATATTTATTACTTTTCAAAGGAGAAGTAATCCATTTTTTTTACATACTGATTGTGGAATCATTCCATGTACACATGTACAAAAACAGCTGAAAAAACTGTGATTACCTTACTCTGATAACACTCCAGAGAAACTGGAAGAATTTCTAAACCATCTCAACAGCATCCACCCAAATATACAATTCACCATGGAAAAAGAAATAGAGGGCCAACTCTCGTTCTTAGATGTCATGGTCGTATGCAAAACTGACCTCCTATTGGGACACAAGGTCTACAGAAAACCCCCACACACAGACCGGTACCTACACAAAAAACATCCAACACCAACCATGACGAAAAAGAGGCATAATCAAAACACTGGTAGACCATGCAAATTGGAACTGTGAAGCTCAATTTCTCAGCACCAAACTCAACCATCTGAATTGGGCCCTACAGGTGAATGGCTACTCCAAGAATGAAATCAAAAGAACCATCAAAGCAAGAAAACAACACCAAACTGAAGAGGAAAAACAGCAACCCGCAAATAAAGTAATTCTGCCATACATCAAAAGGGTCACGGACCGCATGGGGAAACTTTTGAAAAAACACAACCTACAAACAGTATTCAAGCCCACCAGAAAAATACAACAAATGTTACAGTCAGCAAAGGACAGAAGCCCCCCCTCACCACTGCAGGAGTATACCAGATAACTTGCAGTTGTGGCCAGGTATATATTGGAACCACAAAACGAAGCATCCACACCAGAATCAAAGAACATGAGAGACACTGTGGACTAAAACAACTGGAAAAATCAGCAGTAGCTGAACATGCTCTAAAACAAGCTGGACATGAAATTCTATTTCAAAATACTGAAATACTGGAAAACACCAGCAATCAGTACGTTAGATTGCACAGGGAAGCCATTAAAATCCACAAACACCAGCAGAGCTTCAACAAAAAAGAAGAAAGTTTAAAACTCAACAAAGCTTGGCTCCCAGCTCTGAAAAATACAGCCTGCAAAAGGTCAACAAACTCTACCCAGCCAAAAGGACCAGTCATCACTACACACAAACGATCAGCTAACAACACCCATCAATCGTAGTGACACATAATCTCTCATCCTTATCACAACAATACATCCACAACAAAAGCACACTGATCACCATAATCACCCATCTCCTGAAAAGGACAAAAGCTGATCCCACAGCTATAAATACTCAACTCCCAAACAAACTGCACCAGAGCACAGACAGTGTTCTGTCTCCTGTCCTCTGAAGATGCCGGCCACAGAGACTGGCAAAATGTTAGGAAGAACAACCTTCAGAAAATGCCCAAAGAGCCCAAAAAACCCACTTCAACCACTCCAGAGCACATTCAATGGTCAAAACCCTGTTGCTTCATTTAGTAGTCAGCACTAGATAAGGCCCATTGAACCAATGGGGATTTGATGAGTTAATGTCTCTATAGGTTCAATTGATTCAAATGGTCGTACTCTAAATGCGACTTACTTTAGCATAGTAAGTCACAGTTCAAATACACCCATTCCATTTATACTTAGCAACAGGATTTTGGCCAATACCATTTTTTCAACTTATTTTTTTATTTATTTATTTGATTTATACCCTGCCCATCTGGCCTAATAGACCACTCTATTTAGAAATAGATCACTTGATGTAGTACCTATCATAAGGCGCTGCATCTTCTTGCTGATTGTAAGCAGAAAAGCCCTGCACTTACCTATGAGTGATACTCCACAAGTAGTTTCAGGTGATTCTGTGCTGGGAGGTCTACATTTTTGTCAGTTAGGTTGACATTGGTCCTAGTTCTGCAGCACTCAGATTCCATAAACTGTAGAGAAGGACAGAAGTGCATTTTTGGGACAATGGCAGACATTGTGTTGTGCAACTCATTTTCATGTGCTTACATTGGGACTGCCATCTTTCTGGCCAAAGTTGCAGCCAATCAGTGGTCTTAGAGCAGTGGTTGTGCCAATCTTGGGTAACCCAGGTATTCCTGGACTGCAACTCTTGGGGATCCCAAGAAAGATGAGTACAGTATTGTCTGCCTAAAATAGCAGTTTATTGAAATTAAACTGGCTAAGTGATTAAAGAAGAGAGCCACTTCAGGATATTGGGAAATGTAACACTTCTTCAGCATGGAGGGGGCTGAGGAAGTGAAAAAATATTTAAATATATGAAGTATGTGTATTAGGCATGTGTATACCTAATACATAAACTTAATACACTTCTCTTAAATGTCAAGTTGAAAGCCTAGCAGCAGCCTAATACACTTATCTAATACACTTTACTCTTTAAAGAGTCTGCCCACAGGCAGATCAGGTGGTGGATATAACTCTGGGCAGATGAAAGTTTTAACAAATTTTTTACGATTGATGCAGCACATCAGCAATCGTCTACTACATATAGTCATTTTTTTTTTCACTTCCCCTGCTCTCTGCCACTTATTAAGCCATTTCACAATATTGACCGATTGAAAGAGGAAGGCTTGCTTTGTATCAGATCCAGCAGTCACAGATAGAAAAGTAGAAAACTCTTGACAGGGGCGAGAAAGGTGTGAGTAGGAATGTTCCGGGGGGGGGGATAGGTTGCTGTGCTCTGGTCACTATTTTTAAGAGCACATCACAGCTCCTCCCTGCCGTGCTGCAACAGCATGTAGTTAGCCTCAAAATTATCAATGGGAGACTGGAAGCGAGTCGTTTTTAGTTCTGTAAATCAAGAAGATGATGAGTGTGGTTGCTTCTGACCTCTGTAGCTGTGCAGCAGAGTAAGGGGCCCCCTGAAAACTTTTATTCTGCTTATAGGGATAGATTCGATGGTGTTTTATTAAAGAATTGCATTTGAAAGTGATCTAAGAAATCAGTGGTTCTGTACAAAGCCAGTCTTCTGTTAGAGAAGTATGGGTGTCTCTTTTGGATGGGTGTGCTTTACAGAGTACAAACGCATGTACTTTCTGGCAGCAAACAGGAAATAGTATATTTGCAGTGGAGATAAGAGTGACTAACTTTGATAGTGTTTGACTAGCATAAAATGTTGAATTACTCCCATTTTCTGTTGAAACAAAAACTGACAGATTAAATTTTAATCTGACTGATCATTGATCATCAATGATCATCATTCAGAGTTTCTTTAAAGGTAAATGTTCCCCTTGACAATTTGTCCAGTCGTGTCTGACTCTAGGGGGTGGTGCTCATCTCCATTTCCATCCCATAGAGCTAGCATTTGTCTGAAGACAATCTTCCATGGTCACGTGGCCAGCACAACCAGACACGGAACGCCATTACCTTCCCATTACTGGTTAACTCTGGTTAAGGTTGACTCAGCCTTCTATCCTTCTGAGGTCGGTAAAATGAGTATCCAGCTCGCTGGGGGGGGGGGGGGGGAGGGGGGAGCCTGCGTATTTAACTAAACCACCCAGAGAGTGCTTGAAGCGCTATGGGGCGGTATATAAGCAGCACGCTTTTTTGCTTTGCTTTAATATTCGAAGTTCTAAAGATACTGGCTAAAATACTGTCATTTCATGTTAGAGGAGGCCCATTGAATCACTGCTGTGTAAGTTCCATTGATTCAAATGGGCCTATTCTAACCATGACTTACTATGCTAAGCATTACCAAACGCCCATAGATTCGATGGGCCTACTTTAACACAATTTACTGCACTAAGCAACATGATTTTGATTAACGTTTTCCCAGCATTGGATGACAAGAGAGGAGAAAAATGCCCACTCTGAACAAGCTGAGATCTGGTGGAGGGGACATTTATTATATAGAAAATATGCTTGCCATGTCATTGGAGGAAAAAAAAATTGACAGTTCCCAAAGCAAGAATAAAAGGCAGCTTTTTCTGAATTGGTGTTAATTCTTTTCACTTTCAGGTTAGATATATTAAGAATCTACCTGGATTTTCTACTGCAGAGTTACTTGTAAGATGTGCAGAGCACCTGGATCAAAATCTTATCAGTGGCAAGACTGGTAAGTTCTTTGGCTACACTTAGGTTTCTAGAAACCACTGAGCTTGTGTGCTACTGGCACTTCATAATCTTTCCATACATTATTTACCCAGTTTTGAGCCTTCTCAAACATTCTTGCACAACTAGAGTGGTGTCTCATTCATAGATTAGTTTCATTCAGTTATGCTAATATCCTAATATTCCCCACACCTCATAATATTGTTATTAGAAATCTGTTACATTTGTCATTTGCCAATGAGGGCCAATATGGTTTAATAGATAAAGAGGTGTATTTCGCTGTCATCCCAACTATAAAAGAACAGTGATTTACTTTACAGAGTTGTTGTATAGATGAAAACAGTAATCTGCAAAGCATTTTATGGACTTTAAAAGTGTGGTCAAAGTTTTAGATGCATGAGTTAGTAACAATTCCTATTGCACCCTTCACCTATTGCCTGAATGCTCAGAGGAGGTGTGTGCAGAACCACAGCAGTCAACCACACTTCTGACATCAGTGCATTTCTCTGGCCATCCCTAAATTCCTGAAAAAGCTGAATGCATGTAGTTATTTTAATGAGCCTATTGCACTGTAATGGGGTGGTGGTCTGCTGTAAGAATTTGCTTCCAAGTGGATGATGATGTCTAACTTTTCCAGATTTAAAATTCTGGTTAACTAAAATTCTGTTTAGCTACTGTAACATCACAAAACTGTCCAGCAGCCCTAAATTCCCTTCCCCATAACCCTATCCCAATCGAAAAGAATTAAAAAAAACCCTGAATCATAATAAAAAAGAAACATTGGTTAAGGTGAAGGAGCTGCTTTAAACCTTGTGTTCTCAGCTGCTTAGGGAGCTGGATAAGAAACAAGCCCAAGGTGACACATACCTACTATATATGACACACACGTGTGATCTTAATCTTTGGGGAGCCAAACTGTTTTTAGTTCAAACTCTGCTGTTTGTTTTATTTTTAAGAATTGTTATTACAGACATAGGAGCAGGGGCGCTTGCATCCTGGAGATTACCCCTTTTAACTTCTGTTTGTAACTACAGATGACGTTTTCTTACTACAGAAAAGGCTGGATTTTTGTGTTAATGGAGGCTCATGAGACTGGGCTGTCTCTCTCACACTTCTGTGGATTTGTTTCTTGTCTTATGCCTTGTTAACAAAAGGAATAACCAGATCCCTGATATAAAACCCTTTTATCAAACATCCATAATGTAAGTTTCACTCTTTCCTGCATTTAAAAATGTTAAACCTGAAAACCATTGTCTCTTATTTTCTTGAAATTATGGATGGGTGAGTGCCAGATGACTGAAGGAGGGCTTCAAAAAAGGGCAAAAAAGAGGAACCCAAGAACAACAGTTCAGCTGAATCAATCCTGGGGAAAATCCTGAAGCAGATGATAAAACAATCAGTCTGCAACTGTTCTGAAAATAGCGCAGCAATAACTAGAAGCCAACATGGATTTGTCAAAAACAAATCCTGCCTGAGTAATGTTATCTATTTTTACATCATGTAGCCTTCTTGGTAGACAGTGGAAATTCTTTAGAAGTAGTATTTCTTGACTTCAGCAAAGCTTTTGACAAAATGACAAGGAGCATTCCTGATTATCCCATTCTGCAGTCTGTGTGGTTACTTAGTTTACACACAAGTAAAGCAATGGGCAGAATTCTGTTTGGTGACAACTCTATGATGTATGCAGTGTGTTGTGATATTAGAAAGGACAGTGAAGAAACCCTCTCCCATATTTTCCCCCTCTCATATTTTTTGAATATTCCCCTCAGTGATGCAGCACTATTTCAGATATAAGGGGATATCCATGTTAGGTTAATGTATTGCTGTAGTGCTATTCCACTTACTAAATTGAACAAAAACAAGGGATGAGTCAATGGTGCAAAACCTTGTTGGAAGAAGGTAAGCTTTAGCCAGTGCTTGAACATGTAAACCTTGGCACACACTCTGATGGAGACTAAACCTGCCTCTAGGCGTAGAGCTGCATTATGGGCACAAGGAGGCACTGCCAGTATAGCTCTCAGAAATTTGGCCTAGACAAACTCAAGGGGGCGCAGATTGAAATATGCAAATAATTGGGAACCATAGAGCATCTGTGCGATTACTTTAGCCTTAAACACTTGGATCGCTGATGAAACTTGTTGCCCCCCTTTATTGTAAAAAAAATAATTAATGCAGAAGCACTTTTTTGTGCATTTATTGCTACATGCTTTATGTGGGAGATCCAGGATCCAGAGGAATGAAAGACTGTAATTAAATACTGTATTTATAACTTGACACCTGCTCTATGGGATTCCCGTTGATGGACCATTTGTGCTTGATTCTTCTTCTGCCATCAACCAACACCTTCGTTTTTAAGTAGTTAATAGTTAGCTGCTCTTTGTTACAATAAGAAGAGAGAGCCCTTATAGGTCATTTTAAGTCAACACAACTAGATTGTCGGCATATAAAAGAATTGAGAGAGAGCGGGTAGACAATCTAGGAGGGTGAAAATCAGGATTTGTTAGATTTTCAACTATACCATTGATGTAAAAATTGAACAATGTAGGAACTAAAATGCAGCACTGTTTCACTCCAGTGAACAATTGAATCAATTTGGACAGGACCCCAGCTTGACTGCATAGGACCTGTAGACATGTATTTTCATGTAAATGCCACATTAGCAAAAGGAGTTGCCTGTCAATGTTAGTGGCCTGACATTTGGCCCAGAGTTTGCCTCGTGGGATGAAGTTGAATGCAGACTTGAAACTGATGAAAGCTGAAAACAGGGAGCAACCTCTGGGTGAGGAACATTTATGGGTTAGATTATGAAAAATAAGGCCCTGGTCCAAACTTGACCTTCCAGGTCTGAATCTGCAGGGATATGTTCTGCTTGTAACCAGTCCTCTAATTTCCCTAACAAATGGTGTACATATTGCTGGTAATATTTAGCAAACTTATCAGGCGATAGTTGACAGGGTTCAATTTGTTTCCTTTCTTGAATATTGGTACATAAAAATTCCAGGGAGTGTTGTCAAAAAAACTTACAACAATATCTCTTTCTGATATTGCTCATAATTGTAATCAGTGCAAGAAACTTCAGCCAACTCCTATCTTCCCTTTCTCTTTCACAGCATTTAAAGTGGAAATAATTAGCTAGCAATTTCTGTTAGCATTCTATCCTGTTAGTATATGACAATACAGAGAATGCAAGAATGCACAAGTAGATAGATAAGTAACTAGGTCAAAATACCTCAAAGGAGACTTCAGTCTTGTGCTTTCTCCATTACCTTTTCCTTTCCTCACTGGAATTTTCTCATATTCTAGGTATCTTCAGATATGCGTCTCTGTTGACTCCAGATGAAGAACTGGAGAATCACTTGCGAAAATATGTGATGAAGAACATTTTGAGGAAGGTAGTTCAGCTTGATTGTTAATAGTTTTCTGATTTACTGAAACACAACATGTTCCAGACAGGAAACACTCACCATGCATTTTTAAAATATGAAAGTATGTGTATATCTTGCATGTTTCTTCCTTATGTGAATCTAATAATTAAATAAAAATTGGTGTAGTTGCTCCTATTTCAGATTTCTGTTAGGCAAATGAGTCATTCTCTTACATATCTGTAACTTAGAGATAATGTAATTTAGAGATACTGATACTAAACTATCTCTAACTTGTGACTAGACCAGTTTTTCAAACTTGTGACAAGAT